CATAGTACTGAAAGTCCTAGCCAGAGCAATTAGGCATGAAAAAGAAATGTAAGTCATCCCAATTAGAGAGGAAGAAGTTAAATTGTCCCTGTTTGCAGATGACATGATCTTATATATAGAAAACCCAGAAGACTCCACCAAAAAAATTATTAAATGTAATGAATGAATTCAGTAAAGTTGCAGGATCCAAAATCAACATACCAAAATCCATAGTGTTTCTATACACCAATAACAATGTAAAAAATAAATCAAGAAAGTAATCCACTCATAATGGCTACAAAATAATTAAAATACTTAGGAGGAAATGTCACCAAAAAGGTGAAAGGTCTCTCTATTAAAAACTATAAAATACTGATGTAAGAAATTGAAGAAGACAAAAGTAAATGGAAAGAGATCCTGTGTGCATGGATTGGAAGAATAAATATTGTTAAATGGCCATACTACCTAAAGTGATCTACAGATTCAATGTAATCCCTATCAAAATACCAATGACATTCTTCACAGAAATTTAAAAAAAAACCTATAATTTGTATAGGACCATAAAACACCCAAATTACCAAAGCAACATTGAGCAAACAAAACAAAATAAAACAACAACAACAACAACAAAACAGTCTAGAAGCATCATCCTACCAGACTTCAAAATATTCTACAAATATTAGTAACTACAAATATCTAGTAACCAAAACACACACATAGAACAATGGAGCAGAATGGAAAGCCCAGGAGTAACTCTATACACCTACAACCAGCTAATTTTTGAGAAAGTTGTTGAGAACACACAATGGGTAAATGACAGTCTCTACAATAAGTGGTGTTAAGAAAACTGGATATACACATGCAGAAGAATACAATTAGACCCTTATTCCACATCATATACAAAAGCTAACTCAAAATAGATAAAAGACTTAAATGTAAGATTTGAAACTAGGAAACTACTAGAGAAAAACATAAGGGAAAATCTCCATGACATGGGTGTAGGCAATACATTTTTGGATATGGCCTCAAAAGCACAGGCAACAAAAATAAAAATAGACAAATAAGTTTCATCAAACTAGGAAGCCTCTGCATAGGAAAGAAAACAATCAACAGAGTGAAAGGACAACCTACAGAATGGATGAAAATACTTGCAGAACAAATGTGCAATAAGGGGTTATTAATATATCCAAAATATACATGGAACTTAAACAACTCAATAGTAAGAAAAAAAAACTTTAATTAAAAAATGAACAAGAGACTTGAATAGACATTTCTCAAAAGAGGACATACAAATGCCAACAGGTATCTGAAAAAATCTTCAAAATTATCATCAGGAAAATCCAAATCAAACCCACAACGAGATTATCACTTCACACCTGTTAGACTCAAAGAGACAAAAGATAACAAATGTTGGTGTGGATATGGAGAAAATGGAACTCTTGTACATTGTGTGTGGAAATGTAAACTAGTATAGCCATTATGGAAAACATTATGAAGGTTCCTCAAAATATTAAAAACAGAATAATCACATGATCAAGTAATCCCTACTGGATATATAGCCAAAGACCTGAAATCAGTATGTTGAAGAGATATCTGCACTACCATGTTTATTGTAGCCTTGTTCACAATAGCCAATACCTGGAATCAACCTAGGTATCCATCACTAAATAAATGGATATCAAAAATGTGGGATGTATACACAATGGACCACTAATCAGCCATCAAACACAATGAAATCCTATCATTTGAACCATATTGGATGAACGTCGAGAACATTATGTTAAATGAAATAAGCCAAGCACAGAAAGACAAACACTGCATGATCTCATTTATTCAAGGAATCTAAAAAGGCTGATCTCATGGAAGGATGGTAGAAATGTGGTTACCAAAGGCATGGTAATTATAGAGTAAGGGAATGGGAAGATTTTGGTCCAAGGATATAAAATTACAGGTAGATAGAAGGACAAAATGTCTAGAATAGCCAAATATAAACAGATAGAATAGGCAAATATAGAGAGACAGAAAGCAGGTAAGTGATTGCCTGTGATGGGAGAAGTGGTAAGTGGGGTGCAGGAGAGGAAAGATGGGGGTCAGGAAGAGAAATTGAAAATGATTGTTAATAGTAATGGACTTTCTGTCTTAGGTGATGAAAATGTTCTAAAATTGTATTGATTGAGGTGATGGTTGCATGACATGTTAAAATCCTTTGGATTGTATACTTTAAGTGGGTGAATTGTATGATATGTGAATTATATCTCAATAATACTGCTTTTTAAAAAAAAGAAATCCACTTCACATTTTGAGAGTTTGATTACTCAATGTTTATGTGCATTTTCTGTCTTAATGTTTGGGTTTTTCTCTTGGATTATTTAAAACCTACTTGCCAATGGGATACATTTTAGTTCCCTAGGACAGAAAAGTTTAACACTAGCCAGAAATCCTATATGTGGAAGGACAAGAAAAACAAGGCAAGTTAAGAATGTATCACCACCTTTTCCTTTAAACAGTGTGCTCAGATATTCAGGACCATTTATTTATTCCATATGAGTTTGGATGAGATAAAACTCACCTTGGGAATGTGGCCGCAGAAATGGCCTTGGAATGTCCATATATGTCAGGGGCCCCTGCACTGGCTTGTTGAGCTCCTTGTTGACAGCAATGAAAGCTGTGAAGGAGCTTATGACTCCAGACTCAAGGCTGATGTTCAATACCTCGCTTTTATGACTTGCTGGAGTTTCCATGTTGCCCATGTCCTTGGTCTGGATAAAGGACTTGGCAGCAAGTCGGTGAATGGTGAGGCTGAAAGAAAAAAAAAATTCCTGAACCTAAAGGAAAATCACCCACATGCCAGTTGCTCTGAGCTCTTAAAAGTTAGGAATAGCAGAGGGAAGAAAAAGTCAGATAAGAAGAGATAAGACTTGGGTGGCTTAGAAATAAAAAGTGATTGTAGGGAAACATTGAGCCCAAATCCAACCTCCAAGGATGGCAGGAGAGGGGGAGGGGAGACAGAAAGAGAGAGAGAGAGAAAGGAACAGGGAGAAGAGAGGAAGGGGAAAAGGGTGGGATGGAAGAAAATAGCAAAAGAAAACAGAATTCTCACTTGGCATCGGGCTTGGGTTGCAGAGAAAATGTCACCTTATCCTCAAAACTCTTGCCCTGCAATGCATACTTGAGGCATACTTTTCCTGTTGTCTCTGCTGGCTACAAATTAGAGAAAAGTAGAAGTGATGGAAGGAAGAAATCTCCAAGAAAAGGATTAGAACAGGAGCAGCTTCCCAAGACAATACATTAAAATATCGGACTAAGAATCAGGTAGTCCAGGAAACCAGAGCCCCAGATGATGAGGAAGGGTGTAGGCTGGCTCTACCTACAAGCACAATCTCTTCCTGTCATCCAAATCCACCCACCAGCTTTAAAGACATTGTCAGTACAGTATGGTAGCTATTCCAACTAAAGGAAGAAAAAAGAATGGGAACTCACTGGCATCACCCCAGTCAATTGGGCATAGATGATTAACCTCTGACCCTTAAAGATGACAGTTGGTTCTGGGGAAAGTATTTTAACAGACAGACCAGGAGGCAAATCCCAGCTCACAGAGACATCCTCTACCACGGGCTGCAGAGAATGTTTCAGGGTCCTCAGGGCCTAATGGAAGAAATGGAACAGAACAAGCAGAAACAAATAATACGGACAATGAGAGCTACTGTTCACTGAGTGCGTATCACGTAGAAGGTGCTATGCTGTGTAACACACGGCATGCCTTCTTCTTAATGCTGTACTAGGAGATGGGCATTATTTCTCTTGCTTTACTTATAAAGCTGAAAGATTTAATAACATCAATGTGAATGAAGAAAATGTTTGAGAGACAAGGCCCCTGGAGAAGGGCATTAGACAAGAGACAGCATCAAGTGGAAAACAGGAGCTTCGAAATTTAACGAGATGTCTTCTCCTCGTGCAGACTGATCAAATGGAATCGCCAATTTACCACTTCTTCCAATCTATTAGACATATCACAGTTGTTCCTTCTCTTCTTTGTACCCTTGCATGGAGGATGGATATAGTACCTCTTTCGATCCTAAAGTGCAGACCTAGGACCACAATCATGACAGCCAAAGCTCTTAGTTTCTGTCTCTGGTCTTCAATACACAGGCCCCAATCTCTTTCGGCATCTCTTTCCTGGGCTTTCAGCTACATATAGACCAGATACCATTTCTGCAGATGGTACAGGGGCCCCCTTTACATGAGGCCAAAAGTACCCACAGTAGGTACATAGTGCAAGGCCTTGGGGATACAAAAAGGCATCCCAGAGGCAAGCTGCTGCCCCTTGGCCTTGTGCAGTTGCCCCTCCCTGTTCCACATGTTGTCTGGAGTGTCACCTCTGGACACACAGCCCTTCTCTCACCTTGGACTGCATCCTGTCCTTCCCTGTGATGAATTCTGAAGTGCCCCCTGAGGCCAGGGCAATGCCTTTTATGAGGCTGGTGGAGGCACCTTCTCCAATACCAAAGGAGAAACATCTGCAATTGTAAAAGTATAAAGGTTAGAGACAGGAACTAAAGAGTGAAGTTATAAAATTGACACGTGATAGTAAAAAATGCATCAAGAGATAATCTGCTTTCTTGATAAAAGTATAATAGCTATCATTTATTGAGCATGTTCTACCTTTTAGGAGCTATAAAAATGCCTTAAATTAATAATACAATCTAATCATCACTAGACTCCTAATAGGCAGGCTTCTACTTCAATTTGTAGATAAGGAACTGAGGCCCAGAGAATTTAAGAAATCTGTCCAAGATCACACACCTGCTAATGATAGCGATGGCACTGGAGCACAGACCCGTGCGACTACAAGATCTCCCAGAAAAATGAAGGAAACAAGATAAACTATCACCAATGCCCGCCTATCATTGTTCTGGTGCCATGTCTGCCCTGGCAAGGCCGTCCTTAGAGTGGGGAAGCGTGCCTCCTCTTCCTCTAACTGGGGAGTTCTCACCCTGCCTTAGTCCCAGTGTACCAAATAGCTTCTTAACCACAATTTAGTCTCCTAAATAGGAGTATCTATAAAGAAAGCATACATTGGTAATACTAAAACAAGAATTTTTAGAAGGCATGACAGAGATAGCTTTCATTTTAAATTAATACACTAAAAGTGTAGCTTATGTAGCAGTCTCTTTTGAGATGGGTTAGTGTGAGTCATCATTTCCAAGTCTAGTGATGTCATCATTACGATTAATGCATTACACATTCATAAAGCTAAGGACCAGACTGCAGTGATCTGTTATAATACTCCCTAAATACTACAGTCTGCCAACATATTGAAACCACCACCTTCTAATTTCTGTCTAAGATGGTCTTTGAACTGTACCCTGTTATAAAGTACTTTTATGTACCTTTTATAATTTTTGTATAGAGCCAAAATTAAACAATACTTCTTAGTGGCTAACTGTATGCCTAGAACTCCCTAAAGAGCTAGATGTGGGTGATAATAAAAATAATAATTACAATAATAGCTACATTTCCTATAGCCCTTATTTTCTGTCAAGCGCAGTTCCTAATACTTTACATAGGTATACTCTGTTGATCCTCACAGTAACTCCCTAAGGTAAGTACTATAAGTATTCCCATTTTCAAGTGACAAAACTAAGGCTTAGAGAACTTGGTTGATTTGTCCAAACAGCCAGCAAGCAGAACGATAACTTAAATATATTGTTCCAGACTTAAAATATAACACCCCTGGAAAGTTCTGCTTACAGCAATGCCAGAATGAGTTGTTTGAAGACAGCAGAGAACTAGAAAAGCTGTACACAATATTTTTAATAATTTGTTTGCAAGCATCAAAGGGATACCAAGATAAACAAATCTACGAGCTGAGACCTGGGAGAGGAAGGAAGCCAAGAGAAATGCTCCTAGCATCTGGTGTCCCTTTACCCTTTGAAGCAAGTGCCAACTACAAAACGGACAGCTGAAAAGCTAAGCAGTTTCACAAAGGTGGAAGGAAAAAAAGTAGCAATTTGGCCTTCCAAAAAGGAGGTGCCCTTGTAAATACATCAAGTTTTTGAATAGAACCCCATACTACACACTAAAGATAGAGGTGATCAGAAATAAACCAACCCTTGCAATGACTGAAGTTTATTAGACCCTAACGGCATTAAAATGATCTGCTCCTAGTCTATCAATCCATCAGAAGCAAAGAATAAATCCTCTCAGAGGGAACATATAGACGCTCAAAGAATTGCTATAATATTTTTATGATATATCTGACAACTAACCAAAAAATAGAAAATCCCCAAATATTGGGAACTTAGGTACTTACTTATGAATTATACAGGCCTAAGAAAGAAAACATAATAATAACCAGAAAATATTCTTAAGTGAATGTCAATGGCAAAATGGAATATCCAAATTTAGAATTCAGCATAAATCTATAGCTCTGAATACACACATTACAAAAGAAAGTCTAAAAATCAACTATCAAGCATGCATTTCAAGTTGTAAAAAAAGAATACTCAATAAACTTCAGGAATGTAAAAGAAAGAAAATAATAAAGTCAGGAACAGATATTCATGGAACAGAAAACACTCAAATGATGGAAAGTATCAACAAACCTAAAAGTGTTATTTTGAAAAGATCATTAAAATTGATAAACATCTAGGTAGGACAAGGAAAGAAACAGAAAAGGAACAAATAACTCACATCAGGATTGAAGAACTAACATCACTACAGATTCTATAAAATTTAATAACAGTATTAGGCAACATCATGGACAATCTAATGCAAACAAATTTGAAAATTTGGATAAAATATACAAACTTTCATGAAACACAAGAATACATAATACTAAAAGCAATTAAAAAATAAAATCTCACAAAAAACTCTCCAGGCCCAGCTGGCTTCACTGGCAAATTCTAATCATTTAAGAAAGGAAATCTTTTAGAGAACAGGAAAAAAGGCAAATTTTGCAGCTTATTTTATGATACTAGAATAACAATGATATCAAAACCTGACAATATGTAATAAGAAAAGAAAACATAAGTCAATATTTCCCATAAAAAGATATTCAAAATCCTCCTCCAAAAATTATTAGCCAGCTGAATCAAAACTATTTGACACAGGTTAATATATCACAACTACTTTGGGTTTACTTCAGAAATTCAAAGTTTGTCTAACATTAAAAATAATCATTATGTCATATATTAAAAGAATAAAAGATCTGAAAAGATACATAAAAAGCTTTTGATAAAATTTGACAATTAATTATTCAAAAACAAGATAAAAAGAGAGAAAAGAATTCTAAAGCCAGAAATGAAAAAGAATTTTCTTAACCTGATAAAAATATTAAAAAATTTTTAAAAATTTGGAAAGAAAAATAAAATATTTCCTTTGCAAACATGAATATCCATAGAAAATCTGTAGATTTGCAAACGTAATTGAATTAATATATAAATTAATCAAGGTCATTAAATACAAGGTCAACGTAACAAAAAGCTATTGAAATCAATTTCTTTATAGACATAAACATCTAATAAATAAAATGATTACAAAAAATACTATGTAAAAGATTAATAGCATCAAACACCCAAGGAAAAAACTGAATTAAAAAAATTGATAAAGACCTGCACACAAAGAGTTATAAAACATCACAGAGAGATTTTGTGTGCACAGAAGTCTCACCTTATCTGCAGTTTCAGATTTGACAGTTTCAGTTACCTGTGGTCAACCACAGTCCAAAAATACTAAATGGAAAATTCCAGAAGTAGACAATTCATAAGTTTTAAATTACACACTGTTCTGCATAGTATGATGAAATCTTGTACCCTTCTGCTCTGTCCCACTTGGGACGTGAATCTTCCCTTTGTCCAGCGACTGTGTGCTGTCTACCCTCCCCACTACTAAGTCAGTCACTTGGTAGTGGGCTCAGTTGTCAGATTGACAGTCACAGTATGGCAGTGCTCGTGTTCAAGCCACCCTTATTTTACTTAATTGTTCTATTTTATTATTAGTTATTATTAATCTCTTGCCGTGCCTAATTTATAAATTAACCTTTATCATAGGCACATACGTATAAGAAAAAAACAGTATATATAGGGTACAGTACTAGCCACTGTTTCAGGGTCTTGGAACAAATACCCCGTGGATAAGGATGAACTACTTGTTTATAGACTAAGGAAATGAATAAATTTACTGACTTTGTGAGAAACTGGGCTTCTCATAATGGAGAAAAGATGACATAAATACGGAAAAAAAAAAGAAAGAATGTTATGTTGTTACCTTTGAAATAGGGGCATGAATAAAATTTAAGTTTTTTTTAAACATTTGCCAGTTCCATCTGCTGAAAATGCCTAGAATCAATAACAGCCTGATAGTAAGAAGCACACCGAGCACTCGAACGCTGATTTCTAGTTATCATTGTCACGAAAAGCAACCGAGCTTCCTGTAGAAAACAGCAGACTGCAGGGCTGGGAAGGACAAGTGAGTCTAGACCACTGTGTGGCAGAAGACAGGCAGCACGCATAAAGCAAAGATGCACGAAACAGACACGGGAGGACGTTAAAAGGCTCTCACTGGCCAATCCTGGAAATTTTGAGAATCTAAATGAACAAGTTGAAAATAATGAAAGAATCTGAGAGCACATATTGATACAACACAAGGAAAGGAAGGAGGGAGGGAAGAGAAAAAGCTTTTCTTTACAGGAGGTCAACTAAGAAATGTGGGGAAGCCAACAGAATTTTAAAAATCACCATTTTGTAACTAGGAGAGTGATCACTGACTTGGGCAGTAACCACCGGAGAATGCTGGAACTACAGAGTAATCACTTGCTGAGAACAAGGTGGCTACACAATCTTAAAGTTGCCCGTTGGACACTGCCTTTAACTAAGTGGCCAAACTTAACATCACCAGGAAGGACGTTACTTTTCAAATATTTCTGCCAAAATGTTCACCATTACCCTAAATGTGAATCTAAACAGTCATACAAACACAAATGGAGGCTCTACAAAAATAACTGGCTGGCACTCTTTCAAAATGTGAGTGTCATGACAGAGAATGCAAAGCTGAGGAACTGTTCTGGAGTAAAGAAGACTAAAGAGACAAAATGACCAAATAAAATACTCGTTCTTAGATTTGTCCCCAGACCAAGCACAAAAACAGACAAAAAACTACAAAGGATATAGAAAACTATAAAAGATGTAAAGAATAAGTGGCAAATATAGCCTACATTAAGATAATGGTATTATGTGAACCTTAAATGTCCTTAACTGAGTGTTCTTATGGTGATTTAGCAGAGTGTCCTTATTCCTAGAAGATGAGCACATAAGTATTTATATAAAAGCATTACAGTATCTGTGACTTTCTCTCAAATGTTTCAGGTAAAAAATAACAGGCGAAGCAAATGTGATAAAGGGTTGACAACTCATAGACCTGGGTAAAGGGTACACTGAGTGTCTATTGTTCTATTCTTGCAACTCTTCAAAGGTTTAAATTTTCTAAATAAAATATTGGAAATAAACATTCCAAGAAATAAAAAAAGACCAAACTAAATGCAAAGATACGTAAATAACTAGAATCCGCAATATAGTAAATAACAAATCTTCCTAAAATTGATCTAATAAACTCAATGCAATTCTACGTAATTTCCCAACAGGTTTCCTTTTGTGGTAAAAACTGATAAGCTAATTCTAAAATACAAACGCTAAGAGCCCAGTAAAACTAAGACAATCTTAAAAATGAACTAAGTTGAGGACTTACTCTATTGGAAATTGAGATTATTCATAAAGCTATATTAATTTATATGATTTATAATTTATATGATTTTATACAGGCACATGTCTGTATAAAAAAACCAATGCAATGGAACAGAAGACCAAGAAAAAACCCACATACATATATATATAGGTGCTCATTTGTGATAAAGATAGCACTGCACATCAGTGAAGAAAGGACAAATTTTTCCATAAATGGTAGAGTCAATTTGATATCCACAGGTGACAAAACAAAAAAATGAAACCTGACCCCTACATCACACAATACACCAAAATAAACTGCAGGTGAATTCTAGATCTAATCGTAAAAGAAAAAATAAAACTTCTAGAAAACAACAAAATAAAAAACCTTCACTACCTTAGGTAGGGAAAGACTTTTGAATAGGATACAAAAAACACTAACCATAAGGAAAAGACTAAAAAATTTGAACTATATTAAAATTAAGAACAGCTATTATTAAAATACATTTTGAGGGTAAAAAAATAAGCTATAGACTAAGAAAATATATTTTTAGACCATATAGTCAAGAAAGAGCTTGTATCCAGACCGCAGAATGAACTACAGATCAATGTAATATAAATAAATAATTAATAAATAAAAATAGGAAAAAGACTTGAAAGCACATCACAAAAGATAACACCCAAATGTCCTACAAATATGAAACAGTGCTCAACTTCATTCATCATCAGAAAAATATAAATTAAAACCATACTAAGATACCACTATACACACACAAAGTTGGCTAAAATTTAAAGACAAATAATACTAACTTTTGGATAGAAAATGAGGCAATTAGAATCCTCCTACAATGCTGAGGTGAATCAAGTTAGTACAATAGCTTACAGAACTGGTTGCCATTCCCCAGAAATTTCACAATTCTGTTTACTCAAAGAAATGTATATGTATATAAATATTTCTACATGCATACACATGTGTGTCTGCAAAAAATACCTATACAAGAACACAAGAATGTTCATAGCAGTATTATTTTTAATAGCCAAACCAAAGTCCATCAGCATTAGCATCATAGATATGTTATGGTATAGTCATTCTACAGAACACCACACACCAATAATAATTAACTATGGCTACATAAAAAATATGTATGAATCTCTCAACATAATTCTGGGAGAAAGGAAAGAAACAATATACACAGAAACAAAAACATACTGGATAACTCACTTATTTTCATTCAAAAACCAGCACAAACAGCCATGGTGTTACAGGAAAGGAGAGCTCTATGTGTGTAGTGACTGTAACAGGGCATGATGTAAAAGGCTAGATGCGGAGAGGTCTTCGTTACATTCCAGTGTCGGATCTGTGTGGCGATTACACAAGTGCGTTCACTGTGGTAATTCATCTAGCTGTATACAGATGATCTGTGTGTATCCTGTGTATTACTCTGACACAAATGTTTACAGTAGGAAAAAATATTAACATCCTACTATTCGATTCTTGTTCCATTGTGGTTTAGAAAGAATGAGGGACAATGATTTTTCTGTGTTGATGTTATCTGGAAAATTACTTTTGATTTTTGTAGACAGTAATAAATTGTCAGCTGATACAATTAAAATTCTGGAACCATTGTGTCCTCTGCAAGGAATATCAACACTGGTATCATGTAACACCAGATGACATATGGCACTACTTGGATCCAAGCACCCAGAAATCACGACATCTTCCTACCTGTGTTTCTGCCTATTGATTTTAACTTCTTTAATTACAGTGAACGTGTCACTAACTTCTCCATCTGTGAAGACAAAAAGCTGCACAAAGAAAGAAAATACTCGTCAAGCTTCTATCAAGTTCATTTTAAGATACCAGAATTTGCCTTTGAAAAACTCAACTATTTCAATCTAAAAGCGCTGACGCCTCTTCAAACAGCCACGAGATCCCTAATCTTCCACTGTCACTAGCCCCACATTACCACATGGTCTGATCAGAACCCTGGGGATTTTCAGCACCTCCCCCGACTAGCTTCACTTAAGCTTTTGTGGCAATCCATAAAAGAACTTCCATTGCTTATCATCGCATGGAATTATAGAAAAAGAAAAACGCCTCTTGTCTTTTTTTTTTTTTTCTCTTTACTATATGATAGAAGACTCTGGATTACCAATCATATTTCAACAATTTGATTCTCTAGCTGAGATTTCACTCTCTGTGTCCCTTCAGTTAGCTCTGTCCCAATTCTTACCTGTAGGGGGTGGCCTGGGATGGAGGGTGCCTTGTAAATGTTCTGGAGTGGTGCCAAGATTTCAGTGCCCCCTAGGTCTGCCTGAATACGCTTCACTCTCCCCAGTGCCTCCTTCATTGTTTGCTGAGTGTACTTCACACTTTCCCTGAGAAAAACAAACACACCCAGTCACAGGATGGCGCTGGACATTGTCCAGTGTTGAGTCCCTGAACTGGATACCCCCGTCAAAAGACAATCTTACCTGAAATTCCCAAAGCCAAATGCTGTGGTAGTTCCTTTAACAACCTAGGCCCTTTCTTTAAAGTATCATTTTGGACTCTCTATGGCCTTTCCAGATACTTACTGAAAGAATGCCTCATAGGTAGAGCCGAATCCATAGATGTTGAAATAACAGCCTACAGGTAAACTCTTCAGCAGCAAAATCAGTGTTTTCTGAAGGTAAGAGAGTATGAGGGGACAGAGTGAGAGAGGATCCTCTCACACCCACAGACCCTGCCATTCTAACTCTTGAGGGTGTGGGCCATCACCCCGCCTTTGTGCCTCCTGACATTCCAAGGCCAGCCTCACGGTGGTCTTTCAACTGGCTGTTGCTCAGATGAAAACAGACCTACAGCTCTGAATGCACCATAATTTAACCCGTCAGATTCATCCTCCCTTGAGCATGTGACTCAGAAAAAGAAATATACTAGTTTTACCTTGGCTGCCTCTATACGTGGCTGAGATTTACTCTGGCTACTCAAGGGGCTCTCCATACTTCCTGAGCGGTCCATGAGGAAGATAAATTCTCCACAGGTATTTGGTGACTTGTCTTCTGGGATATTTGGATAGAAACTCACCATTGCAGATGGATCTCCCAAGAAACACCCTACACAGAAAGGATACAAAAACTGTAAGACAAAAAAGAACTTAAAAATCCTAATGTCCCCAAGAATCAATGGTAGTAAATTTAATAGAAGCTGAGAAAATGCAAATGTATAATGCTGTGTTTGATCCTTATACCATATCTGTTTGCAAAGGGTATGACTTGAGTTATAAATATTTAAAGGAGACAAAATCAGAATAGACAAGAAAGACAAGAAAGTGAGTAGAGGTTAGCGTGCACAAGCAATAATTAAAATATTGCCCCTGAATGCAAGTTTCAGCGCAGCGAGGCAAATAAGTAAGACACATTAGGTTAACATGTTTCAGCATTTGCAAAAAGAATCAGACAAGTTTTTCTGCAGAGGCAAACCTTTTCTTCAAATCAAATCAATGGAGGAGAATTTATCACATGGGGTCCTTGTTTAAGTCTTTAATTACAGCTTTGAAAAAGTGATACATGAACAATTTTTAGAATGACAATTTGCAAGAGTTGAGTATAGCAAGTGTTATACACACCAAGGTGAGTCTGCCTGCTTTGGATATGAGGCAGGCAGACTTCATATCCACTGATGGTCTCCAGGAGAAAGAGAAGCACTGGGATCTGGATTGGATTCTAATGGCATTATCCAAACAACAAAGTGGCAGTGACCACTGGAGTCCAGACTTTGTGGCTAAGTTGTCAAAGTCAGAGCCGTGACTTTATTTTTAGGAGCAAGTGAGAGCTGCGCAGGAATTGAAATGATGTGGTTGAGATAGATATGAAAGGAAAATGGCTGGGTCTATCACCTCTAGTTTTACAGTTCAGATAATATAAAATTAAATTCAATCATCTTATCTTTACAAAGTGTCTTAAGGATTATAGGGTTTACTCTCAGTAGCCCTGAGATTCAGTATGACCACAAGACAGGGCTCAGTTTAATCTCTTACCCGTGGGGTACTCTAATAACCAAATGGTTTCTAAATAAAATGGGTGTGACCCAGCAAATATCTAATGGAACACTAGTTCAAACGTGGCATTTACTTAATCCAGATGTCTGGATATTTAACAGAATAGTAGAATTTTTTTGATGGACAAGGTAGATTCCTTTTCATGCTGAGAGAGAGCTGGTTATAACAGAGCTGGCGCTATACTCAGGAGTTGGGAAGGTTGCCATGAGTGTGATGAGTTAATGTACCTAAACTGTTTAGAATAACACCAGATAAATAGGAAGCACAATACGTGGTTGTATCTTACTGTAATTTTGGCCTGGCTCAACCTATTTGTACTACCACGAGTCTCGGCTTCCTTGTGTGTTTAAGAGCATTTCAAACCTTAGCTCCTCCGTCTGCTGGCCTCAGTGTCCTCATCTGAAGAATCACGTAGTGACACCTGCCTCAACATTTACTGTGAGGTCACGTGGTCTTAATATACTTAAGGAGCTCAGTCTATGCTCAACTTAGATATAGGCTCTTAGTCACAATTTTATAAAAAGTTACTTCTAAATTTATGTTTATACAATTATTTTATTAAATCATGAATTTAATTTTAAAAGAAATCACATTTTAAACATACTAAGTATGTCGTTCTAAGTTTGTAAAAATAAGGCATTGTGTTTTCCTCATGTAGTGCGATGTTTCATTTGCAGAACTCTACATGGTTTTATGACCAAGCTTCCACTTAAGGTTGTCAGTTGCTTCCTTGTGTGGCTGAGGACAGCAAGTCATGCTGACCAAATATATGTCTTGGGAAGCAAGACTCGAGTGGCCCAGCTGGGAAGGAATTCCCAAGACTGACACGGCTACCTCTGATGTCCCCCTAATGGCCTGCAAACTGGTCGGTGGAACAGGGGGAGAAATCTGGCAGAGGGCAAGGAACTCTTAGACAGGAAAAGGACTGAGATTCATCTTACTTGAATCCAATATGATGAAACTTCTCTGCCGTAAAATAATCCTTACAAATAAATCTGACTAAAATAAGGTTACTGTACAGGAATATTTTGTTGGGCAACCAAGGAGATAGACAGGCAAGGAAAAAACAGGTAACTAATGTAAAAGACGAGCATCGAACTCATGGAAGAGGAGCTGGTTATAGCAAACTGGGTGAGCGTGGACCCTCCTAATGTCCTTAGCATGGACAGCTGCCCCCTAAGAAGAATGTTGAACAAGTGAGGGCAAACTAAAGATCCCTAATTTGTGAGACATAGTGCCATCCACTTGGGCCAAACATTAAGGATGAGAGAGTGGGAGGCCTGCTGAAAACCAACTACCGTGGATGTGTTCCTAGCAGCTATAGTTGTAGAGCGAGAGCCTAACCAAGCCAATCACTTTAAACAATCCACTATAACAATGAACTGTGAACAAGGAAGCTTCCACTCCATCCTGTGCAACATGCTTTGTAAGTGGCAGTATCCCTCCAGTCCTGCTTCGTGGTCCCTGAAATCCACTGGCGTGGCGGCCCAGGAAGGCCCCAGGAGCAAAACAGATCAACATGGGATACAACAATTTTAATTATAAGAAAAAATACATATATATTTTTAAAAATATATTAAAACAAGAAACATTAAAATTAAAAATAAGAGACATTAAAATAAAGTGAGAAACTAGGACAGGATAAAAAATTTTAGAGATGGATGATGGCGATGGCTGTACAAGATGAATGTACTTAAGGCCACAGAACTGTACACTTAAAATATCTAAAATGGTTAATTCTGTTATGCGTATTTTACCACAATAAGAAAACAACTCCAGGTGACACTACATGTGTGATGAATCAATCAATAAAAGTTATTTATTACAGAAAGAAATCGACGAACTAAACAGTCTAAATCTAATAATAATTACTCCTTGCATACTTCCTATGTTTTTAAACGTTTTTCCTAATGCATAGGTTGTTTTATTGTGGTAATTAGCCTGTATAACTTACTTTTCTTTTACTTAACATTCTTTGGAGGCCTTGTTTCCAAGTTATTTCAAGTGTACCTTGCAAAGTACATTTAGCCACTTAAAAACATTTTGATTGTTTACTACTATTTGATATCATTAAAATGACAGGTAACAGCTCAGTTCATATTTTTACTTATATTTAGATTTATTTCCTTAGGTAAGATCCCCAAAATTGAGGTTACCAAAATAAACATTGATTTGACACATATATCCAAATTTCTCCTCAAATGGTTGATACCAAATCATTTTGCTTCAAGCAATCTATGACAGTGCCAAATTCATCATAACTTTAAAACCATGAGGGACTATCAGATTTGGAAATCTTTGATAATTTGAAAGGTGAAAATGCTATATGATTACTATGATTTGCATTTCAAATGAAATAGCATTTCATTGCAATTTCCATTATAAGACTGATCACTGCCCCATATGTTTATAAACTGGCTGTGTTTTCCTCTTTGAATTATTTGTTTCAATCCTTTGCCCAATTTTCTACTGATCTTGTTAAGTTTGCCTACATGTCATGACTACATGATATTCAATAAACCTAACCATTTTTGCATGCCATAGTGTAAGCTATTTGAATGTTTATGTGGGTATGTTTTACCTGCTACTCGAAAGGAGAAAAAAGTGAGAGTAATTTGAGGATAACTCCAAGACAGGAATTTACGCTCTAGAAGGTGACTACAAAAGGAGAAAGAAAATACCTGGCTTCATTTTCGGCAGCCCCATCTCCACAGCTACGCTGGGGGCATGCACCTCATTGTAGTAAATCAGGAGTTCCACGTCCCGATCATACTTGTGTCCCTCAGCCAGGGAGACCTGAGTTGGGGACAGGCAAAGGAGCCACATTAGAACTATCACTGTTTGCTTCCTGGAGCTACTATCAGAGCTGGGGGCTACAGGCTTCTTCCTTGAGTGAACACTGTCAGGAGCAGAAGCGAGAATGGAGAGAAGGCTCTGGACGTTAAACAGGGATAAGGAAGGAGCATCAACCGACTCTCTCTGGGTTAACATTTGAGATAAACTGGGTGAGGACCAAGCCAAGACCCAAGGAACAGGAGTACTGGCAACAGTAGTACTCTCTCATTAATTACCTGAGCAGAAGTCTTATCATCTCCAAGGTACTCAGTAGGACTCAAGGGGCAATTGGATTGGATTTTCTCAATGCCATGCTGGGAAGTGATGGTGGCGACCATACTGAGTGTGTAGGGCACGTCCTTCAAAGGGACTATAGGAATCTTCCTATTAAGGCAGCTGTCCTGAGAACATCCTACAAAAAGTTACCGTAGTTGTGTTTTCCTTGCCAAACCTTTTTAGCACACCCACACACAACCTTAAGGGGATTTCCCCACGACCAGCATTGAGAGGGGAGGGGGACTCACCAGACAGCTGGTATCTAGGGTTCAGGACAGTTGGGAGCACGAAGCGCAGGGCACCATCTGCTTCCAGGGACAGCTCCTGCACATACCTCAGGGTGAGTGCCACCTTCGCCCCAGGTTGGAGGTTCCCCACATTGCAAGAGAAGACATCCCTGGAGCTCACGTCCTCCTCTAATAAGAAGGCCTGGTGCCCCTGGGAAATGGCATTCTCATAGTTTGTGTGGGCCTAAGGAGAACAGGGTGAGGGTGGAAAAGAAAGGTAACATCAAAGGTGCCATGGTTGATGCAGCCACAAGTAGGGCAGAAAGCAACCTGAGGGGGAGGGACTCTGATGGGTCTTGTCAAGTTCACAGCTGTACTTTGAATGTCTCTGATTGATCCCCCCCCCCCAAGTGACTTTAGGAAAACAGCAGTCAGAATGGAGTGGAGGAAAGAGCTTGCAACATCAGCATGTTTTGTGAAGTTGCATTTGACAGGTATCCTAAATGTTAGGGACAGGTGCAGGTTGCCAGCCCTAACCACAGAAAAACAAGAGGAAAGCAAAACGGAGGAGACCAATATGCATTTAGAAGCCAAATAGCAATGTCAAGAACTGGCATTTAGGGACGTTTTCCTGGCCAGGAGCATGAGCAGAATCTAGGAGCTCATGTCTAAAGGTGACCTTTTCCCCTGTAACATATATTAACATAGTAAAAATCACACCCATCAGTGCCATGGCAGTTTGCAATTGTCATGGGAACCCCTGGAAGTTACCCTATAAGGATAAAAATAGGGAGGGTCCTTAATTCTAAGAACTCTGTACCCTTTTCCCAGGACAGTAATGAATAGTCCACCACCCCCACCACCCCACCCCACCCCCATAGCATATCATAAGGCATAGACATCAAAGTAGGTTCTTCTCCACTCATGGAGCCGGACCCATTTCCCCTCAGGAAATGTACTTTCACTTTCTATTCTATGCTGACAAGCCTGCAATAAAAGCTGCTTGTGCAGAGACGCTAGTGTCTGTCATCTCTCTGTAGCACCACCTGGCTTGTAATTCCTTCAAGCCAGGAGCCAAAGAATCAGGGCAACAACTCTAAAAACTCAAGCCTGACACTAAAGACAATGCACCAATAAGAAGAGAGGAGCTAACGTACTCATCCCTAGTACCTTCGCCTTGTCCTGTAATTCTGCTACAACTCTCTTCCCATCCACCAAGGCTTCGAAGCTGTAGACAGCAGAGTCTTCATCCATGGGGAAGATAAAGGCGGCCTCCAA